CACCGTCCAGGAAAGGGGTGAGGATGCAGCCAGCATACCCCCTAATCCTTTACTGCTGTGGCATCTGATAGACCTGGTTGTGAAGCCCCTTTCTGGCAATTCACTATAATCATTGACCTCCCAGGGTCTCCACTTAGCGACCCATGTCCCTTGCTGCCTCTCCATGGCAGGCCTGCAGGAGGCCGACTTTATTTCTGGGAAGGACATGCTTTTCCATGCTGGAGAGCTGGGAGGAGAGGGCAGGACAATTTAGGGTGCACATTAAAACCAACGTGAGTACCGAAGCAGCACCCTGGGGAGGCCCGCAGCCTGCCTGGGCCCCCCGTTCTGGGTGGTGGGGATATCAGCCCAGAAGATGAATGGGAGGGCAGGGGAGAGAGAAAGGGAAGGAAAGGAAGGAAGAAAAATTGCTGCCCATTATACCTGTCCTTTGGCAAGGCCCGGTAATTAGCAAACCCTCAGCAGTAAAATATTTCGTTTTGGTGTAATTGCAAAGTAATTATGTGGTATGGGTTGTGTATTAATCGTGTTGATTAATAACACTCAGGTAGTAATTAAACATCTGCTTCATAACCGTGTGCTGTCTGAAGCTTAACATCCACGCACACGTGCCTGTGCCACATGCAAAGCCCCTTGGTCCCTGTGGTGCTCATCCGTGTGTGCATACATGTGCACAGAGCGGGGGTGGGGAGATCGCCTGGCTGGGTTAAGAGACCCTCCCTTCCCTGTCATTACAGTGAGGCCTTTCTGTCCCCACCCTTACCGCGGACACTGGGAGGAACTGACCTGGCCCTGGGGCTGTGCCACCCTGAAGCCCCTCTCAGAACAGAACCCTCCCTCCCATGTGTGCCCCTCCCCAGCTGAGCTGCCTGGCCAGTGGGTTATCATAGGTGTTCGAGGGCTCCATACGTGACAATCTGCTAGACTGTCTTAGATGTTTAGCTTCTAGGCTCCTTTCTTGGGCGGGTTACTTTTCCCTAGAAGCTGGGAGAGGGGCTATTGTAGGAGCCACCTGGCCCGAGGCTCATGTAATGACCCAACATCCCTTTTAGGCCTGGATTTAATGGTCTGGTCCCAGAGGCTGCGGGGACCACAGCAGGACTCAGACTGGGAACCAGGAGTCCTTGTTGGAGCTTGGATTCTCCCCCACTTGCTGAAGTTGGTCAACTTGCTCTCCTCTGTCCCTGAGGTTTCAGGTCTATCAAAAAAAGAAAACCAAGGTTAGAGGCCTCCGAGGGCCTTTCCAGATCTGCTATACTGGGATTCTAATTTGGTTTGTACTAATTAGGAATCGGAGACAATTTAAATTCAATACATCCGATCCTTAGTGAGTAAACAATCAGAAATAATTCCTTCCTTTATGACTTCTCAAAGACTCACTCATGAGCAATGAGAACCCAAGCTAAAATCAATAGCTTTTATTTCTCAGACAGAGAAATTGCAGAATCCCCGAGCTGCTGGGCATTGCAATTCATTCTTGTATTTTAAATTTTTATGTTTATGTTTATGTACTGCCATTAGGTAATATGGATCTATCCTGAAGGTTGATTTTTTTCATTAACTTAACTCATTTTACTTATTAGTTCACATTTATAGCTTGGGTTTAATAAGCACACAGTGCAAAAGTCATAAAACAGCCCTTTTTTAAAGCAATATTTTAAAATCAAGACTCTTCTCTGAGTCATCCCAGGTTTATTTGCTCATAACTTGTTTCTCGTGTGATTTGAGGCCCAGCGGGGCCAATTGCAGCCAGTCATTTGACCTTGAGCTTCAGTGTACCTCATTTGTAATAGGGAAGGGCACCACTATTTAATAAAAGCAATGAATGCTTACATTTTAGAAAGCAAGCCTCCAACAATCGCTTACTGTGTTCCAAGTGCTTCTCATACGTTATCTGGTTGAATCCTACATCCCTACGAAGTGGCTTTTTTTTTCTTTTTTTTTTTTTTCCACTTTACAGGGAAGGAAACTGAGGCCCAGAGAGGTTAAATGACTTGCCTGAGGCCACCCAGTTGGTGACAGTAGCAGAGCTGGGATGCAAATGCAACATGTCTAAGTCCTGTCACCATCTTTCCTCCTACATCTGTCTCCCCCTCCCCCTCACTGCCCTTCCATCAGTGCTTTACTATCCACCACTACCACCAGGTCCTTCCCTCCCTCCTTTCATTCTCTCATCATCTGTTTCCACTTGCCTGGGCGCCCTCCTACTTTTCTCTACCTGGAGAATACCTCTGCTCTATGACCTTCAGTGGCTCCCCATTGCCTATGGCTGTTCGTCATCCTTAGCCTGGCATTCAAGGACCTTAACCATCCAGCCCCTGCCTTCCCTTCCTGTCTCATTTCCTACTCTGCCCCAACAGGCAGTCTTGGGTCATAGCCCTAAATACCCACCCCACACCTGGTACCTCCATGCTTTTGCTCACTCTGGTACCTTTGCCCATGGTGCACCCTCCTTTCCTCTCTGTACATTCAAATCTGCCCCCTCCTCCAGGAAGCCTTCTCTGGGGCTCAAAAAGGAAGAGGCCCCTCCCTCCTTTGAACTCAGAACCAAGTAACAAGCCCTCCTTAGCCTCCTTAAACTATGAAAACCAGGTCATTGCCTTCTGTTCTCCATACCAGTGAGCTCCTTTGAAGGTATTATCTGGGCCTCACTCATCCTGGCACCTTCTGAGTCCCAGGTACACAGTAGATGTTTAATGCTCACCAAAATGAGTGAATGCCCATGCTGCATGTGATCTATAGGAAAGTTATCATAAGGCCTGTGTCTTCTCTGTGGAATTCAGGGCCAGCCCAGTGCAAACTCGGGGAGACACATTGTCCAAGTTTTAGCAACTTTTAGTATAAAGCACTGACCACAGGACCTTTCCATCTCATTTCCCATTCTGTCCAAGGCTCCTACCTGGTTATCTCCATGCCTTTGCTCACCCTGGCCCCCCTGCCCACAGCGCCCTCCTCTCATTCCAGATATACACATCTGCCCTCTACTCCAGGAAGCCTCATGTGCCTGCTGGGGTCATCAGTGCTGTTGTCATAAGGAACTTAGAGGGGAGGAGCCTTACATTGGTATCTCTGCCTGTGAGTGATTAGAGCCTTGGGTTTCAGACCTGACCCTGAGAGACTGCAGGGACTGGTGGTGGGTCCAACACCCCTGTTCACAGATGGAGAGGCCAAGGCCCCACAAAGGAGAGGATATGCCTGAGTGCTCACAGCAAGTTAGTTTGGCTTGGGTCTGGAACCCAGGACTGCTGCCTGCAGGTCCATGGAGGTCTCTTGCTGTCACCTCCTGGGAGTGAAGGCCCCCACCCTCAGCCATGGGTTTATTAATGGGGTGGGTGGTCTGCTTCTCTTAATAGGTTTGAGGGAGCATGGACTGGGGAGTAAATGAAAGATGGAGGCTGGGGGTCCCCCAGGTGAGCCTCTTCATTAAGTGTGTGTAGGGAGGAGGCCCAGAGAGGCTGACACACACATGTCACCCGGATGGGGCTGGAGCAGGGACCACAGGCAGCTATAGTGAGCCTGTGAGAAAGGCTCAGCTGCACAGCACGCTGCTAAAACAATCTCCCTGGTCACCTCTTTCCTGCAGCCATTTCTTTCTTTCTTTATCATACCCTTTTGGAAAAAGCAGAGAATGCCACCCCTCCTGGGGATTCGTCGCCCCCCCCCCCCAGTTCTCATGCGCTGGCTGCGCTGGCTGCCGTCTGGTGTGACATTAGCGTTCACCAGCTTGCAGAGCGCTAATGACATTTGCATTTTGCTGGCTGGTGAAATGTGGGCTGGGGTTTGGGGGTCCCATGGGCAGGAGGGGAGTTTGCAGCCCAGAGGGAGAAGCAGATATGCTGTGTGGGGCCCCACACTGGTCTATGAGAGGCAGAGAAGAGGGGTAAAGGTGGGATTAGAGGGAACAAATACCTGGTGGAATTGAGAGAGTTCTCTAAAGATGTGCCAAGGACGGAAAGCAGCTCCCCGTCCAGTGCTCCTCCTCCCCAACAACCACTCATGGTGTTCTCTCCTGTCTCGCCTCCCTAACATTTATTGAGCGCTTTCTATGTGCCAAATGCTCTGCTATGGAAGTCACTTTAGCTCCCTGCAAGTTCTTGACGAGAGATGCCACCATTATCCCTATTTTACAGACCTGGAGCTGACACCTGAGAGGACACCTGAGTTGCCCAGGGCCCCACTTCTGAAAGGAGGTTGCCCCAGCATGTGGCGAGATCCACCTGCCTCCAAAGCCCGTGCTCCTGATCGCTGTGGGCAGTGTCTCTGCACCTTGTCAGGGCCTGAACACAGCCAGGAAACCATTCTCAGCTCTGGCCCTTCCTAGCAAGCACCTGGCAGGCATATATCAGACCCTGGCTGTGTGCCCTTGGCTGCTCCAGGGGCTGCGAGGCTGGCAACTGCAAAGGAGGGAGCGTCCCTGGAGAGAGAACCCAACCATGAACCAGGAGAGACCCTGGGTTTAGGCCTCACTCTGCCCCCAACTTGCTGTGTGACTTTGCACAAGTCACTGCCCCTCTCTGGGTGTCATTCTCCTCATTGGTAAAATGATGCCGTTGGTCTGGCTCAATGGAGCATTCCAGGAGTACATTTGCACATGAGCAAGGATCTTTCCCCCAATGTATTTGAACTCTCCCAGAGTTTCCACCCACTCACTCAGACATATAAAATTATGTTTTATAGCAAAGCAAACCATGACCATTTACCAAGCATCCCCACTCTGCAAAGTGCACCGTGCTAGACACAGTCAGTGTGACGCTTATGTATGTATTTTTTTCAGGCACACACACACAGGCATATGCATATCTTTGCATCTTAGAATTGTCTGGCTTCCCAATCCTGATGCGTAACCCCGGCTCCTGCAGTCTTTGCCTCATCACACTGCCTCCTCCGGGCCCAGAGAGCATTTCAAACAAAAACAAGAGACCTCAGGCAGCGTGAGCAGTAAGATCTCCCCCAACGAGGCAGTCACGACAGTCACGGCCGGCTCTGTTTGTCTCTGACAGGTGGCGTCTCCTGGATAGCACTGAGCTTGCAGTGGCAAGAGCTTCTGACACTGTCGTCAAAGCAACTTGAACCCTTTGAATTTGGCTTCTAGAAACGAGGGCACGGTCCTTTTCCAGACGCCAGCCACTGAGGTAAGGGGGCTCAGGCTTGCTCAGCAAGGGGCATTATGCTGCTTTCTTTCGTTGTTGTTGTTGCTAATAGGAACCATCGGCAGGGCACCCTATGCATTCTTTATCACAGTGCCCCGATTTAGTCCCTTCTCCAGCAGAAGGGTATGGTGGCTGAGGCTCTAAAGTCCAGCAGACCAGGGTTCAAATCCTGGAATCACCAGTTACTAGCTGTGTGGCCTTGAGACCTTTCTGTGTCTCTGCTTCCTCATCAGTCAACCAAGGAAGTAATAGCACCCACCTCCTGGGTTTGTGGCGAAGATGAAATAAGGTAATACATGAAAAATAAACGTTGGCAGTTACTAACAATAAGCCTGCACCCGTGGCAATTCTTAGTTTATTCTCACAGTGATGGAGTGGAGTCCACATTCGACTAGGGTGAGGACTTCGTGAGAGCAGGAGTTTGTCTGTCCCAGCCGAATCCCAGATCCCAGCAGAGGAAACTGGCCATGGTTTGTGGAATGAATGGGTGTGTGAAGATGCTTTCTCTATATTGCGCACAGTCCTCTGAACAATCCTTGGAGGTCCTTGCATGAGTTGGGATATGGATTTGGTTGTGTGACAAAAATTCCAAAACAATGGTTCCTTAAACAAAAGAGAGGTTGCTTTTTTTCTAAGTAACATTCTGAGCTAAGGGGATTCTTCCACACAAAAATATTAGAGGCCAAGTTTCCCTGTGTCCTGTGACTCCACCATCCCTTGTCTACATGATCCACGGTGGCCCACGGCAGTGTCTCCATTCTACTCAGCAAGAGGGGAAATCAGAAAAGGAGAGGGTGCCCTGTCCTTTAAGAGGTGTACGTTTCACTTCCATTCGTGTCCCATTGGCCAGAATGTAGATATATAACACACCTGGCCACCAGGGAGCCCCAACTCTGAGGGGCCCCACGGGCCCATGCCTGGTTCCAGGGCACAGGCAAGCAGGCCAGCCTCGCGGCCCCAGCTGACGTCCACCGTGGCAGCTCTGTTATGCATTTAGGGTGCGGTGTATGATTTCATTTGAAAAAAGATTGCTCTGCAGAAAAAAAGATGGAAAACCACAGTGTATGCTTCTGCCTTCCAGGCAACTGTGGCCGAGTGCTTTTTAAGATCTGTCCTTCGCTTGATTTTGGTCAACCACAAACCTCCTGGCCCTTCATCCCGCGTGCTCTCTTTCTCTCTCGCCTGTGGATTCTGCAGCTCTGACTCATCAGGCAGACAACTCAGCGGTCAGCATCACCCTGCCTTATATGGTGTGCTCGGTGCTCCTGGGGCAATGAGTATTCATTCATTTCTTTCTTCAGCCTGTGCCTGATGAGTTGTTATTAGGTGCCAGGCACTGTTTCATTTGCTGGAGATTGAGAGGGAGCAAAGCTGAAAGGTCCCCACCCTCAGGGGTCCCTGCCTTCCCTGGAAGATCTGCTGAGAGCAGGATTCTTCTTCTGCATGTCGTTCCCCCATCCCCTTGTCCAGTGTCTCATTCAATGTTGAACCAGTCGGACTTGGTGGATATTTGTCAGTTACTTTCCACACTATTTTTAAAGTCCTTCACTATGACTGATGCTGCAGAGATGACCACTAGACCACTGTGGTCCCTTCTAGAATGACTTGGTCCTCACTCTTAGGACATCGAGTTTAAAATGCAGCTTGTGATGGGTCCTGGAGAAGGAGGAAAGGCTACAGTTAGAGATCTGGATGCAGACCTGGCCAGGGGATGTGCACAAGTAAGCAAAAAGGATCAGCCGATCTCCACTTCCATTCAGTCAGGAGCACCTCGGAGATCAGTGTTGGGAGGCCCCTCAGAGGGCTCCTGACTTGTTCTAGGGAAGGCAGACAGGAGAGTAAATCCCTGTCACCCAAGGTAGAGAATGAGAGGGTCCGGAGCAGAAATGTAAAGGAAGGCTTGGGGATTCTGAGACCAAATCGAGAAGTCATTTCTGGGTGTGATGGTCGTGGGAGGTCAGGGAATGTCGTACACTTGAGCTGGGCTTTGAAACTGTGTGGGAAGCGGGACAGGCAGGGATGCTGGGAAGGGCAATGCAGGAGGAGGAAACTGAAAGCAAAGACCTGGAGCTGGGACCCTGGGCTTGTAAGTCTGTGTCCGGCAGGAAGTGAGATGAACAGTCAGCTTCTTCCCTGCAGGCCTCCAGGCTTGGCCCCACAGGCCTGTGTCCATCTTCAAGTCTGCCTTAAAGCACAGCCTGGGTTTGAAGTTGAGTAACTCTTCTATTTCCCCTTTTTTGCCTTTATTCTGGGAAAGGGAATTTTGCAGGAACCCTTTAGAAGAAATGGTACTGCACAGGGACCAAGAGTAATGAGTCCTCCCATCTCCGAGGTTCTTTACAGAACTTAGAAACCCCATTCACTCACAGCTTCGAAAGCAGCATGCCTCGAGGCTGACCTGGGCTGGAGGTCAGAAGACTTGGGGTCTTGTCCCAGCCCTGCTACTGATGTCCTCAGCGTCCCTGTCCAGCAGTGTGTCATTTGCAAAATAAGGGGTGAGACCCCTTCCAGCTTTAAACTTTTTATCCCAAGTCAGACCTGGGCTCAGATCCCAGTTCCGCTAGTAGTATGACCTTGGCTCTCTGAGCCTCAGTTTTCTCTATAAATTGGGGGTAATAATACTGTATCTCACAGGCCTGATGTGGAAGGGAAGATTAAATGAGAGAAAATGAGGATCAGTGCTTAGTGACAGCGCTCATGCTAATGGTGTTACATTGATATTTTCAACTTTACACTCTGTGGGAGGAATCCTCAATAGAGTCTTTGGTGTATAGGTACCTACAGGACAGCCAAAGTCCATGTCCCCAAAATGTGGTGATGGGGCCCGAGAGTCACCCCTCCCATCTCCAAATGGGGGTAGAGTGGCCTTCCTCAAAATTACATTCAATCATTCAATCATTCATTCATCAGACATTTCTTGAGCACTTGCTGTGTGCCTGGGCCACTGAGAGGCATGTGGGATCCTGTTGAAGGGACACCCCGGCTGCCTGCTTTCTGTAGTTCAGGCTGCACTTTGAGGCAGCTCTGCCCTCCAGCTGGTCCCACTGCCACCGCTGGCCATAGCACCTCATGCCCAGCATCAGGGTGCTGGCTCTGCAGGCTGGAGCCCTGGGGAGAAATTCCACCCCTGCCTCCTCCCGTGGCTCCTAGAGCTTTGCATAACCCCTCCCTTTCCATCTTGGGGCCAAGGCTCCAGCGAAATGCCAGAGAATCTGCCACAGTGAACTGGTCTGCCTCGAATTGGGCGGAATGAGATGGATTGGATTTCCTGGTTCAGCACTACGCAAACTACGGTATTCTGGAGAAGGGGTGCGGCTCGCCACTGGGCATGGATTATAGGCTATGTTTCATTCTTGCCACCTTTAATGCCTCTGGACCCTGAATTGCAAGGAGTTTTGGATATTTCTGGAAGATGCAAAGCTTGCGAATTGGGAGGTGCTGGGGGGTCCAATCTGCCTTGTGCTCACCTGGTCCTTTGCTGGTGGCTGTGGGCATCTTACCCTCTGTAGTTGCCAGCATCCAGCACAGAGCCCGGCACACAGGGGGCTTCCATCAGTGGTTGGTGAGTGGATGGACAGATGGCCGGATTACAGTGGATTCACTGTAATCCGTGTTTTCCTAGCTTCAGTCCAAGTGTCCAAGGTGGCTGGAGACACCTGGCTCTCAGTTTATTTTCTGGTTGACAGTCTGATTTTTGGCTCCAGTGCAACATTAGTAGTTTTCAAGTGGTATTGGGGCACAAAGCAAATGGCTTTGGAGCTTTTCAGTTTCTCATTTCAGTTGCGGGAGGCAGCGTGGCGTGCACCCTGCTCTAAGGAAGAGAGCTTGCTGTCAGCTCCGAGGCTAGGTGGCCTTGGGCATGTTATTTAGTCTCAAATTCTGTTTTCTCATCTAGAAAATGATAGCACTAATAGCAGCCAGCTCATAGGGCTCTGATGAGCATTAGATTAAATAATGAGTGTTAAAACAAGGAGCAGAGCTCTGAGCACGTGGTAAACGCTCAAGAAAGGGTGATGGTGGCGTATTTAATGGCCCCCTTAAGCTATTTGTTGCATAAACTTCTCTCTTCCAGACATTTTTGCACACTGCTTTGCACTTTTAAGACAGAAATTATTTTTTTAAGTTGTCATTACAGAAGTAAAAGATGCTTCTTAAAAATTCAAATGATCCAGAAGAATTTAAATTAAAAAAGCAAATGCAGCACACATCCCTACCCCCTCGCCCCACAGCCAGCTCTCTCATTCCCTTTCCCCAGCAACATCCCCTAGTCTGGAACTTTTCTCCTTTTTTTTTTTCTTCCTAAGGACAGGAGACAAGTACACAGGCAGGACAGTGGCTAGGTGGCTGTTATGTTGAATTGCCATTGAGGCCAAAGGTCCTGAGCCTGGTGCCTCAGTGGTCCCATGGGAACCAGGGACAGCCTGTGTCCTTAGAGCAACCTAGCATCTCTGGCATCTGCTTGCTCCAACCTGGAGGGTCTCCAGTGTTCTGTGTCCTGGAGGCCTGGGGAGTGGTGTGAGGCATGTCACATTAGGGCCAGGACTGAAGGGACAGGTGCACAGACACTGTCTGGCCACATGCTCGGGCCTCTTCTCTGTCAGAGCCCCAGGGCTCAGTGCAGTCCAAGCTGCCATGTGCCCCTCATCAGGAAGAGGCCAGGGCCTACGTGGCACATGGCCCAGCGCATCCTTGGTGCTCATGGACTTGGCAGATCTGAGTTTTACCAACACTAGGGTGAGAATTGTGCTGTTGCCTTTATTTCTCTAGATCTGACTGGATCTGTTGCTGAGCCCCCTCTGCCCGTTTGAAGGGCATCCTATCCCAGTCACATTGGGGAGGGGGGAGTCTTGCCCCCTAGGATTGTGTAGGAATCTTGGTGGCCTTTATGTGTCCCAGAACATTTGGGGGATGCTGCTGGACTTCAGTGCACTCAGGACCCCACAGATGGGTTCATTTGCCAAGCCTTGGGGTCCAGCAAGGGCAAGTGGGCAGCAGCCATTTACATACCAACCTGGGCACAGTGTGGCCTTTGGTTGTACCTGCAAGCCAAGAGTTTGGGTGTTGAGACTCCCAGCCTTTCTCAGGCACCTCAGGGTGGCCCCATTGCAGTCCTGTCACCTCTTGGGAGGGCTGTTCCGGGATCAGGGCACCTGAGCCTATAGCTCTTGGATCCCACTAAATCCACTTCTCCTTGCTGACTCCAGAGATGTCCCCCAACCCTTTCCCTGGGCCTCTGCCTCTGCCCCCTACCTCACAGGCCCCCCCCCACCCTTCTATTCTACATCCTTGGGCTCCAGCCTGTCTCCCTAGGCCCAGCGATCTTAGTGCCTGGTGTTGGAAAACAGCTGTCCCGAAGGCATAAGACCCAATGACTTAGCTACCATCTTGGGAAAAGGGAGAGAACGCCCACAGCAGAGCCAACGAATCATGAAAGATTGTCTCAGTCAATTCTCCTGCCCCCCACATTGGCTACAACGGATGAAACAGTACCTTTCATTCATTTGTTTATTGAGCACCAACTATAAACCAGATTCTTTCAGAGACTGAAGGTGAAAAATCATATAAGGTGGACCTCAAAGAGCTTAGGGTTTAACTAGCCATTTTCAGATGTGGTCTGCAGACCAGCATTGCCTGGGAACTTGTTGGAAATGCAGATTTTCAGACTCCCTCTCCCCCACACCTAATGAATCAGAGACTGGGGGCTGAGGTCCAGCAATCTGGGCTCTGCCAAGCCCTCCAGGGGCCGTGGATGCAAGCTCAAGTTTGGGATCACTGAGAGCAACAGGCAGGCGGCAGGCAGGAGGTCTAATATGCTATGATGTGGTGGCACCTAGAAGGGATGCTGGGGAAGGGGGAGGTGCTAGGGAAGGTGCTTGGATTATGAATGACTTAGAGGTGGACAAAGAAATCTGTGTGTGACTTGGGGGAGGGGAGAGGATTCCTAGCTGCGTGATCAGCACATGCAAAGTCCCTGGGGCATGATAGAGCAGAAGCATTCCAGGAGCTATACCGGTGAAGAGGGCAGGGGGAGGGAGGGATGGAAGAGGGCAGGGGCGGGAGGGGATAATCAATAGGCCTTTTGTGCTCTGAGTTGGGTGGCTCCCCAGAAGTGCTGGGGAACCTTGAAAGGGTATATGCAAAGAAGGTAGGAAGATCTGTGCCCTGGGAAGATGGTGGGAAGATGGAGATTGAAGCCCCTGGATCACACAGGTGGCAGGCTGTCTTC